AAGTCCCCTGGACTGCAAGGCGATCAAACCGGTCAGTCCTAGAGGAGATCAACCCCGACTGCTCTTTAGAAGGCCAGATCCTGAAGTTGAAACTCAAATACTTTGGCCACCTAATGAGAAGGAAGGACTCACTGGAGAAGAGCCTAATGCTGGGAAAGATTGAGGGCAATAGAAGAAGGGGACGACAGAGAATGAGGTGGCTGGATGGAATCACTGAAGCAGTAGGCGTGAGCTTAAATGGACTCCAGAAGATGGTGGAGGACAGGAAGGCCTGGAGGAATGTTTTCCATGGGGTCGCGATGAGTCGGACACGACTTCGCAACTAACAACAACAACAAACGTTTTAGAATTGTAAGCCACTCAGAGTCATGTGGCTGAGATGGGTGGCTAAATAAATAAATAATAGATACCAGAAATGACTTCACCCAAGTGACGCTATCAGTCCATCTACCTTAATGTTGCAAAGGCTTCCAAAGATTTTACCACTTTGACTGGACGTTGATTGGATGATTAAACCTGGCAAAGCACTTGTGAACCTGTGTCCTTCTCTACAGAATGTTAAAGTCTTGCTGCAAATTCTATACAATTTCTTATGCTACAACTAGCATGAAGACCATTTAGCGGGTTACAAATGAAGTTCCTTTCCTTCAGGATCCCCTACACTTCTACATTTTGCACTATCAAGCAAAAGAAGATACAGGCCTCAAGGAGACTTTGGCAACATGCCTGAAATAGCAACCCAGATGTTCTTTCTCTACCTGTAAGGCAGTTTTGAGCACTCCATAAAGGTTTATTTAGAATTTATCTTTTCCTGGGTAACTTTAAAATCTGCCTGCCAGGTAAAAATTCAGTAGGGGAGATTTGTATCCTGCTGGTTTATATGTTTAACGATTTAGAGTCAGAGAAGGAGCACCAATTGAATTTCTGCACTATCCATTATTATTTTTTCCATAATACATGTTTGTATTTGTGACTAGCCCCTTTAGGAGAATGTTAAGACACTTAACATTTTTATGCCTTTCTGTTACTTGTGAGACCTAGGTTCTTTGACTGAGATTGATAGGATCAATGCCAAATAAGCCCTGAAATGTAACATAGGGTTCAGTCTTGTAACATCAGATATTACTTACGAGAATTTCATCTTTAGTTGGCTGAAATGAATTGTTGGCTCTGCTGCTGAGATGTTACGGAATGCTCACAGATAAGAAGACCAAGAATAGATTGGTCAGTGTGTTGTAACTAGGAAGAATTTTAAAAGAAAAAGGATAGATTGCACCATCACAATGTTGATTTAGATTGCATGACAGTGTAAATACAGCATGGGGTTAGTTTTGTGTACAAGTAGGCTCATGCTGTATTTACACTCAGACATACAATCTAAGTCAACATTGTGGTGATGCAATCTATCCTTTTTCTTTTAAAATTCTTCCTAGTTACAACACATTGACCAATCTGTTCTTGGTGTGGTTTCTGAAAAGAAAACAGATATAGAGAATAATACTAATCGTACTGGAATGTCTTACAGAACAGAAAATATGGTGAATTATCCAAGTCACTCTTGGTTTATTGTTTGTATATTCCTTTTAATTATTAAGACATCAGTCAGCTTCATTTGTAAATGCAGTGTAATATCTTTTTCCATATCATTCTTGTAATCTGTCATTTTAAAATTCACACAAAAAAAATTATGTTACCAAGGATTGATGGAAACTCAGCTGGTGTAGTGAAACTTGCCATTATATAAAAAAGAAAAACCCATAACAAGCAATTTCCAGAAGTGATTAAGAAAGGAAGCATGTAAATCCAGTGTCCTTTTAAAGGTGCCAGCTGTAGTTTGAGCAAAGATGATGATCCCTCAGATCCCAGAGTCTAACCCACTGAAGACTTATATCTTACAAGTCTACTCATGGGGAATTACTGCATGAGCACTTGTGGATGATCCCGAGGTCTCTCCTTGTCCAGAGAGGAATTCTGAGAAGCCCATTCATTTGCTGGCTCTCTGTTCCACCATGGTCACCAGCTCAGCAAAGTCATTTTCAGATCACTATTGCTTCCCTAGAAGTCCCCATAAATGTAATGGAATGTGCACCTGGAGAAGGAGACGAGAGGAATGTTGACAGAAGCACCCTTGTTTCTTCCAGAGGAGGCAATATATTCCAGATAGAAGCACAGTCCTCAGCTGGATTGGGGAGGGAGTTCAAGATAACCACACCCAATCTCTCGGGGTATATTTATTAGCTTTAAAGTCTGGCAAGATTCTGTCTACAGGTAGTCCTTGACTTACGACCTCAGTTGAGCCCAAAATTTCCATTGCTAAGCCAGTCAATTGTTAAGGGAGTTTTGCCCCACTTTACAACCTTTCTTGCCACAGTTGTTAAGTGAAGTACTATAGTTGTTAAGTTAGTAATATGGTTGTTAAGTGAATCTGGCTTCTCCATTGACTTTGCTTGTCAGAAGGTCAAAAAAGATGATCATATAATTAACGGAGAAACTACTAAAAACTTCCAAATTCAAAAAGGTACAAGGCAAGGTTGCCCACTATCTCCACTACTGTTTATATTATCCCTGGAGGTACTAAATAGAATAATTCGGAAGGATGAGTACATTAAAGGTTTAGAGATTAAGAGAGAAATTTTTAAATTGCAAGCTTTTGCCGACGATCTTGTTTTTATACTCGAAGAACCTTTACAATCAGGGATAAGGCTAATGGAAGTACTGGGGGAATATGGTGAAATGGCAGGCCTAAGGATAAATAAGGAAAAAACCAAAATGCTTCTGAAGAATATGATAAGATCACAGAAAA